ACCGTGTGTGTGTGTGTGTCACCGTGCACGTGTGTGTGTGTGTGTGTGTCACCGTGCACGTGCGTGTGTGTGTGTGTCACCGTGCACGTGTGTGTGTGTGCCTGCGTGTGTCACCGTGTGTGTGTGTGTGTCACCGTGCAACGTGTGTGTGTGTGTCACCGTGCACGTGTGTGTGTGTGTCACCGTGCACGTGCGTGTGTGTGTCACCGTGTGTGTGTGTGTCACCGTGCACGTGTGTGTGTGTGTCACCGTGCACGTGTGTGTGTGTGTGTCACCGTGCACGTGCGTGTGTGTGTCACCGTGCACGTGTGTGTGTGTGTCACCGTGCACGTGTGTGTGTGTGTCACCGTGTGTGTGTGTGTGTCACCGTGCACGTGTGTGTGTGTGTGTCACCGTGTGTGTGTGTGTCACCGTGTGTGTGTGTGTCACCGTGCACGTGTGTGTGTGCCTGCGTGTGTCACCGTGTGTGTGTGTCACCGTGTGTGTGTGTGTGTCACCGTGTGTGTGTGTGTCACCGTGTGTGTGTGTGTGTCACCGTGTGTGTGTGTGTCACCGTGCACGTGTGTGTGTGTGTGTCACCGTGCACGTGTGTGTGTGTGTGTCACCGTGCACGTGTGTGTGTGTGTGTCACCGTGTGTGTGTGTGTGTCACCGTGTGTGTGTGTGTCACTGTGTGTGTGTCACCGTGCACGTGTGTGTGTGTGTGTGTCACTGTGTGTGTGTGTGTGTGTCACTGTGTGTGTGTGTGTGTCACTGTGTGTGTGTGTGTCACTGTGTGTGTGTGTGTCACTGTGTGTGTGTGTGTGTGTCACCGTGTGTGTGTGTGTGTGTGTCACCGTGTGTGTGTGTGTGTCACCGTGTGTGTGTGTGTGTCACCGTGCACGTGTGTGTGTGTGTCACCGTGCACATGTGTGTGTGTGTGTCACCGTGTGTGTGTGTGTGTCACCGTGTGTGTGTGTGTGTGTCACCGTGTGTGTGTGTGTCACCGTGTGTGTGTGTGTCACTGTGTGTGTGTGTGTGTCACTGTGTGTGTGTGTGTGTCACTGTGTGTGTGTCACTGTGTGTGTGTGTGTGTGTCACTGTGTGTGTGTCACCGTGTGTGTGTGTGTGTGTCACCGTGTGTGTGTGTGTGTCACCGTGCACGTGTGTGTGTGTGTGTGTGTCACTGTGTGTGTGTCACTGTGTGTGTGTGTGTGTGTCACTGTGTGTGTGTCACCGTGTGTGTGTGTGTGTCACCGTGTGTGTGTGTGTCACCGTGTGTGTGTGTGTGTCACCGTGCACGTGTGTGTGTCACCATGCACGTGTGTGTGTGTGTCACCGTGTGTGTGTGTGTGTCACCGTGTGTGTGTGTGTGTGTGTGTCACCGTGTGTGTGTGTGTGTCACCGTGCACGTGTGTGTGTGTGTGTCACCGTGCACGTGTGTGTGTGTGTCACCGTGTGTGTGTGTGTGTCACCGTGCACGTGTGTGTGTCACCGTGCACGTGTGTGTGTGTGTCACTGTGTGTGTGTGTGTGTCACCGTGTGTGTGTGTGTCACCGTGCACGTGTGTGTGTGTGTGTCACCGTGTGTGTGTGTGTGTGTCACTGTGTGTGTGTGTGTCACTGTGTGTGTGTGTGTCACTGTGTGTGTGTGTGTCACTGTGTGTGTGTGTGTCACTGTGTGTGTGTGTGTGTCACCGTGTGTGTGTGTGTGTCACCGTGTGTGTGTGTGTGTCACCGTGTGTGTGTGTGTGTGTCACCGTGTGTGTGTGTGTGTGTGTCACCGTGTGTGTGTGTGTGTGTCACCGTGTGTGTGTGTCACCGTGTGTGTGTGTCACCGTGTGTGTGTGTGTCACCGTGTGTGTGTGTGTGTCACCGTGTGTGTGTGTGTCACCGTGTGTGTGTGTGTGTCACCGTGTGTGTGTGTGTCACTGTGTGTGTGTGTCACCGTGTGTGTGTGTGTCACCGTGTGTGTGTGTGTCACCGTGTGTGCGTGTGTGTGTGTCACTGTGTGTGTGTGTCACTGTGTGTGTGTGTGTCACTGTGTGTGTGTGTGTCACTGTGTGTGTGTGTGTCATTGTGTGTGTGTGTGTCACCGTGTGTGTGTGTCACCGTGTGTGTGTGTGTGTGTCACCGTGTGTGTGTGTGTGTGTCACCGTGTGTGTGTGTGTCACTGTGTGTGTGTGTGTGTCACCGTGTGTGTGTGTGTGTGTCACCGTGTGTGTGTGTGTCACCGTGTGTGTGTGTGTGTCACTGTGTGTGTGTGTGTCACTGTGTGTGTGTGTGTGTCACTGTGTGTGTGTGTCATTGTGTGTGTGTGTGTCACCGTGTGTGTGTGTCACCGTGTGTGTGTGTGTCACCGTGTGTGTGTGTCACTGTGTGTGTGTGTGTCACTGTGTGTGTGTGTGTGTCAGCGTGTGTGTGTGTGTGTGTCACCGTGTGTGTGTGTGTGTCACTGTGTGTGTGTGTGTCACCGTGTGTGTGTGTGTGTGTCACCGTGTGTGTGTCACTGTGTGTGTGTGTGTGTCACTGTGTGTGTGTGTGTGTCACCGTGTGTGTGTGTCACTGTGTGTGTGTGTGTCACCGTGTGTGTGTGTCACTGTGTGTGTGTGTGTCACTGTGTGTGTGTGTGTCACTGTGTGTGTGTGTCACCGTGTGTGTGTGTCACTGTGTGTGTGTGTGTCACCGTGTGTGTGTGTCACCGTGTGTGTGTGTCACTGTGTGTGTGTGTGTCACTGTGTGTGTGTGTGTCACTGTGTGTGTGTCACTGTGTGTGTGTCACCGTGTGTGTGTGTGTGTGTCACTGTGTGTGTGTGTGTGTGTCACCGTGTGTGTGTGTGTGTCACTGTGTGTGTGTGTCACCGTGTGTGTGTGTGTCACCGTGTGTGTGTGTGTCACCGTGTGTGTGTGTCACCGTGTGTGTGTGTCACTGTGTGTGTGTGTCACCGTGTGTGTGTGTGTCACCGTGTGTGTGTGTGTGTGTCACCGTGCACGTGTGTGTGTGTGTCACTGTGTGTGTGTGTCACTGTGTGTGTGTGTGTCACCGTGTGTGTGTGTGTCACCGTGTGTGTGTGTGTGTGTCACTGTGTGTGTGTGTGTGTGTCACCGTGTGTGTGTGTGTGTGTCACCGTGTGTGTGTGTGTGTCACTGTGTGTGTGTGTGTCACTGTGTGTGTGTGTGTGTCACCGTGTGTGTGTGTGTGTGTCACCGTGTGTGTGTGTCACCGTGTGTGTGTGTGTCACTGTGTGTGTGTGTCACCGTGTGTGTGTGTCACCGTGTGTGTGTGTGTGTGTCACCGTGTGTGTGTGTGTGTCACTGTGTGTGTGTGTGTCACTGTGTGTGTGTGTGTGTCACCGTGTGTGTGTGTGTGTGTCACCGTGTGTGTGTGTCACTGTGTGTGTGTGTGTCACCGTGTGTGTGTGTGTCACTGTGTGTGTGTGTCACCGTGTGTGTGTGTCACCGTGTGTGTGTGTGTGTGTGTCACCGTGCACGTGCGTGCCCTACGAATCTGACGGAGGCCCGAATTCTATTCCCCGCTAGCTAGCGCGACAGTGGCGATAATCTGAACCGTCGATCCTGGGCCTCATCCCCTAGGTTGGCTCAGCCTCAAATGAGTTCCCTGGTTGGAGCGGTGGTGGTGGTGGTGGTGGCGGTGGTGGTGGTGGTGGCGGTGGTGGTGGTGGCCACCCACCCACCCACCCACTCTGTGTGTGTGTGTGCTGCTACCCGCTACTCACAGCACTTGCCCCCTACAGACTAACGGAGTTGCTGTGATGGTGATGTTACTAACAGTGCGACTTAATGATGCGGGATGTATGATGATGATGGTGATGGTGACCGTGTGACTGATGATGGTGACCGTGTGACTGTGATGATGATGATGATGGTGACGGTGTGACTGTGATGATGATGATGCGGTGGTGACCGTGTGACTGATGATGATGATGGTGACTGTGTGACTGTGACTGATGATGATGGTGGTGGTGGTGACCGTGTGACTGTGATGATGGTGACCGTGTGACTGTGATGATGATGGTGGTGACCGTGTGACTGTGATGATGATGATGATGGTGACCGTGTGACTGTGATGATGATGATGGTGGTGGTGGTGACCGTGTGACTGTGATGATGATGATGGTGACCGTGTGACTGTGATGATGATGGTGGTGACCGTGTGACTGTGATGATGATGATGATGCGATGATGACCGTGTGACTTTGATGATGATGATGGAGACCGTGTGACTGTGATGATGATGGTGACCGTGTGACTGTGATGATGATGGTGACTGTGATGATGATGATGATGGTGACCGTGTGACTGTGATGATGATGATTGTGGTGACCGTGTGACTGTGATGATGATGATGATGGTGACCGTGTGACTGTGATGATGATGGTGACCGTGTGACTGATGATGATGATGGTGACCGTGTGACTGATGATGATGGTGGTGACCGTGTGGCTGTGATGATGATGATGGTGACCATGTGACTGTGATGATGATGGTGGTGACCGTGTGACTGATGATGATGGTGACCGTGTGACTGTGATGATGATGGTGGTGACCGTGTGACTGATGATGATGGTGACCGTGTGACTGTGATGATGATGGTGGTGACCGTGTGACTGATGATGATGATGGTGACCATGTGACTGTGATGATGATGGTGACCGTGTGACTGTGATGATGATGATGGTGACCGTGTGACTGTGATGATGATGCGATGGTGTGGTGGATCAGGGCATGGTTTTGCGGTGATGGGCCACGGCGATGGTGGTGAAGATGTGGTGGTGGTGGTGGTGGTGGAGGAGAGAGGAGGTTGTGATGGATGTGGTGATGGTGGAGGTGGTGGTGATGGTGGTGGTGGTGGTGAGGATGTGATGATGATAATGGTGGTGGTGATAATGGTGGTGGTGGTGATGGTGGTGATGATGGTGATGATGACGACGACGATGGTGGGGTTGACTATGGTGTCGGTGGTGACGGTGGCCGTGTGGTGGTGCTGCTGCTGCTCCTGCAGGGAATGGTGAAGTATGACGAGGAGCTGGTGGACTCTGATGACGAGGAGCACGACGCCTACCTCGTCCGCATGAAGGAGGAGGGGAAGATCCGGGAGGAGGCCGGAGACTCAAACAACTCGGGGGAGTCGACCGGTGAGGGGACATCGCTCACCACCACGCTCACCACCACCACGCTCACCACCACGCTCACCACCACTACCACGCTCACCACCACGCTCACCACCACTACCACGCTCACCACCACGCTCACCACCACTACCACGCTCACCACCACCACGCTCACCACCACGCTCACCACCACCACGCTCACCACCACCACCACGCTCACCACCACCACGCTCACCACCACGCTCACCACCACCACGCTCACCACCACGCTCACCACCACCACGCTCACCACCACGCTCACCACCACGCTCACCACCACGCTCACCACCACGCTCACCACTAAGCTCACCACCACCACGCTCACCACCACGCTCACCACCACGCTCACCACCACCACGCTCACCACCACGCTCACCACCACCACCACGCTCACCACCACGCTCACCACCACGCTCACCACCACGCTCACCACCACGCTCACCACCACCACGCTCACCACCACGCTCACCACCACGCTCACCACCACCACGCTCACCACCACCACGCTCACCACCACGCTCACCACCACGCTCACCACCACCACGCTCACCACCACGCTCACCACCACCACGCTCACCACCACCACGCTCACCACCACGCTCACCACCACCACGCTCACCACCACGCTCACCACCACCACCACGCTCACCACCACCACCACGCTCACCACCAAGCTCACCACCACGCTCACCACCACCACGCTCACCACCACGCTCACCACCACCACCACGCTCACCACCACCACCACGCTCACCACCAAGCTCACCACCACGCTCACCACCACGCTCACCACCACCACACTCACCACCACCACGCTCACCACTACGCTCACCACCACGCTCACCACCACCACCACGCTCACCACCAAGCTCACCACCACTACCACGCTCACCACCACCACGCTCACCACCACGCTCACCACCACCACGCTCACCACCACCACCACGCTCACCACCAAGCTCACCACCACTACCACGCTCACCACCACCACCACGCTCACCACCACGCTCACCACCACGCTCACCACCACCACGCTCACCACCACGCTCACCACCACCACCACGCTCACCACCACGCTCACCACTAAGCTCACCACTACCACGCTCACCACCACCACGCTCACCACCACCACGCTCACCACCACGCTCACCACCACGCTCACCACCACCACGCTCACCACCACTACGCTCACCACCACGCTCACCACCACTACGCTCACCACCACGCTCACCACCACGCTCACCACCACCACGCTCACCACCACCACGCTCACCACCACCACGCTCACCACCACCACGCTCACCACCACCACGCTCACCACCACCACCACGCTCACCACCACTACGCTCACCACCACGCTCACCACCACCACGCTCACCACCACGCTCACCACCACGCTCACCACCACCACGCTCACCACCACTACGCTCACCACCACGCTCACCACCACTACGCTCACCACCACGCTCACCACCACGCTCACCACCACCACGCTCACCACCACCACGCTCACCACCACCACGCTCACCACCACCACGCTCACCACTACCACCACGCTCACCACCACGCTCACCACCACGCTCACCACCACCACGCTCACCACTACCACCACGCTCACCACCACGCTCACCACCACGCTCACCACCACGCTCACCACCACGCTCACCACCACCACGCTCACCACCACGCTCACCACCACGCTCACCACCACGCTCACCACTACCACGCTCACCACCACGCTCACCACCAAGCTCACCACTACCACGCTCACCACCACGCTCACCACTACCACGCTCACCACCACCACGCTCACCACCACGCTCACCACCACGCTCACCACCACGCTCACCACCACCACGCTCACCACCACGCTCACCACCACGCTCACCACCACGCTCACCACCACGCTCACCACCACCACGCTCACCACCACCACGCTCACCACCACCACGCTCACCACCACGCTCACCACCACGCTCACCACTACCACGCTCACCACCACGCTCACCACCAAGCTCAACACTACCACGCTCACCACCACGCTCACCACTACCACGCTCACCACCACCACGCTCACCACCACGCTCACCACCATGCTCACCACCACGCTCACCACCACCACGCTCACCACCACGCTCACCACCACGCTCACCACCACGCTCACCACCACGCTCACCACCACGCTCACCACCACGCTCACCACTATGCTCACCACCACCACGCTCACCACCACGCTCACCACCACGCTCACCACCACGCTCACCACCACGCTCACCACCACCACGCTCACCACTACCACCACGCTCACCACCACGCTCACCACCACGCTCACCACCACGCTCACCACCACGCTCACCACTACCACGCTCACCACCACGCTCACCACTACCACGCTCACCACCACCACGCTCACCACCACGCTCACCACCACGCTCACCACCACGCTCACCACCACGCTCACCACCACGCTCACCACCACCACGCTCACCACCACGCTCACCACCACGCTCACCACCACGCTCACCACCACGCTCACCACCACCACGCTCACCACCACGCTCACCACCACGCTCACCACCACGCTCACCACCACGCTCACCACCACGCTCACCACTACCACGCTCACCACCACGCTCACCACCACGCTCACCACCACGCTCACCACTACCAAGCTCACCACTACCACGCTCACCACTACCACGCTCACCACCACGCTCACCACCACGCTCACCACCACGCTCACCACTACCAAGCTCACCACTACCACGCTCACCACTACCACGCTCACCACCACGTTCACCACTACCACGCTCACCACTACCACCACGCTCACCACCACTACCAAGCTCACCACTACCACGCTCACCACCACGCTCACCACTACCACGCTCACCACTACCACGCTCACCACTACCACGCTCACCACCACTACCACGCTCACCACCGCTCACCACTACCACACTCACCACTACCACGCTCACCACCACTACCAAGCTCACCACTACGCTCACCACTACCACCACGCTCACCACTACCACGCTCACCACTACGCTCACCACCACGCTCACCACTAAGCTCACCACTACCAAGCTCACCACTACGCTCACCACCACGCTCACCACTACCACCACGCTCACCACTACCACCACGCTCACCACTACCACGCTCACCACTACCACACTCACCACCGCTAAGCTCACCACCACTACCACGCTCACCACTACCACACTCACCACCGCTAAGCTCACCACCACTACCACGCTCACCACTACCACGCTCACCACCACGCTCACCACTAAGCTCACCACTACTACCATGCTCACCACTACCACGCTCACCACCGCTACCACGCTCACCACTACCACGCTCACCACTAAGCTCACCACTACTACCATGCTCACCACCGCTCACCACCAAGCTCACCACCACGCTCACCACTACCACCACGCTCACCACTACTACCACGCTCACCACTAAGCTCACCACTACCACGCTCACCACTACCACGCTCACCACCATTACCACGCTCACCACCAAGCTCACCACTAAGCTCACCACTAAGCTCACCACTAAGCTCACCACTACCACGCTCACCACTACCACGCTCACCACGCTCACCATTACCACGCTCACCACCACTACCACGCTCACCACCACTACCACGCTCACCACCACTACCACGCTCACCACCGCTCACCACTACTACCACACTCACCACCATTACCACACTCACCACCACTACCACGCTCACCACCGCTCACCACCACTACCACGCTCACCACCACTACCACGCTCACCACCGCTCACCACCACTACCACGCTCACCACCGCTCACCACTACCACGCTCACCACCACTACCACCGCTCACCACTACCACGCTCACCACTACCACGCTCACCACTACCACGCTCACCACTACTACCACGCTCACCACTACTACCACGCTCACCACCACTACCACGCTCACCACTACTACCACGCTCACCACTACTACCACGCTCACCACTACTACCACGCTCACCACTACCACGCTCACCACTACCACTACTGTGTGTGACTGTGTGACCGTGACTGTGTGTGACACTGTGTGGGACACTGTGTGTGACTGAGTGTGACTGAGTGTGTGACTGTGTGTGTGACTGCGTGTGACTGCGTGACTGTGAGTGTGTGTGACACTGTGTGTGACTGTGTGTGTGTGACTGAGTGTGTGACTGAGTGTGTGACTGTGTGACTGTGTGTGTGACTGTGTGTGTGTGACTGTGACACTGTGCGACTGTGTGTGTGACTGTGTGTGTGTGTGACTGTGACTGTGACACTGTGTGACTGTGTGTGTGACTGTGTGTGTGTGTGTGACTGTGACTGTGACACTGTGTGACTGTGACACTGTGTGACTGTGTGTGTGACTGTGTGTGTGTGACTGTGACTGTGACACTGTGTGACTGTGACACTGTGTGACTGTGTGTGTGACTGTGTGTGTGTGTGACTGTGTATGTGACTGTGTGTGTGTGTGACTGTGACTGTGTGACTGTGTGTGTGACTGTGACACTGTGTGACTGTGTGTGACTGTGTGTGTGACTGTGACACTGTGTGACTGTGTGTGACACTGTGTGACTGTGTGTGTGTGTGACTGTGTGTGTGTGTGACTGTGTGACTGTGTGTGACTGTGTGACTGTGTGTGTGTGTGTGACTGTGTGACTGTGAGTGTGTGTGTGACTGTGTGTGTGTGTGACTGTGTGTGTGTGACTGTGTGTTTCCCCAGATGAGTCGTTCAACCCTGGCGATGAGGAGGATGATGTGGCAGAGGAGTGAGTGCATCGCTCACCACCCACACGCTCGCCACACGCTCACCACTCACCACTCACTCACCACTCCTCACTCACCACCCACACGCTCGCCACACGCTCACCACTCACCACTCACTCACCACTCGCTCACCACACGCTCACCACTCACTCACTCACCACTCACTCACCACTCACTCACCACTCACTCACTCACCACTCACTACTCACCAATCGCTCACCACAATCACGCTCGCACTCACCTCCTCACTCTCACCTCCTCACTCTCACCTCCTCACTCTCACTCACCTCCTCACTCTCACTCACCTCCTCACTCTCACTCACCTCCTCACTCACCTCCTCACTCTCACCCTCACCTCCTCACCCTCTCCTCCTCACTCTCACCTCCTCACTCTCACTCACCTCGCTCACACCTCCTCACTCTCACTCACCTCCTCACTCACCTCCTCCTCACCTCCTCACCCTCACCTCCTCACTCTCACCTCCTCACTCTCACCTCCTCACTCTCACCTCCTCACTCTCACTCAGCTCCTCACTCTCACCTCCTCACTCTCACCTCCTCACTCTCACCTCCTCACTCTCACCTCCTCACTCACTCACCACCTCACTCTCACCTCCTCGCTCACACTCACTCACTCACCTCCTCGCTCTCACTCACCTCCTCACTCTCACCTCCTCACTCTCACTCACTCACCTCCTCACTCACTCACTCACCACCTCACTCTCACCTCCTCGCTCACACTCACTCACTCACCACCTCACTCACCTCCTCGCTCTCACCTCACTCACCTCCTCACCTCCTCTCTCGTCTCCCCCCCTCACCTCTTCCGCCCCCAGGTTTGACAGTAATGCTGAGAGCAGCGCGTCCAGCGCCGACGAGAAGGAGGGTGGAGGAGGTGGAGGAGGTGGAGGAGGTGGAGGTGGAGGAGGAGGTGGAGGAGGTGGAGGAGGTGGAGGAGGTGGTGGTGACGAGGTGGACGACGAGGAGGTGGTGGACCGCCACCACGACCACGAGGAGGACGATGACGAGGACGATGACGATGAGGACGAGGAGGAGGAGGAGGAGGAGGGGGAGAAGAGGAAGAGGAAGAAGCCCGCCAGGAAAGAGGTGAAGTCGCAAGAGAAGCCGAGCAGGAAGGCGGCGTCCAGCAGAGCGAAGAGGAGCGAGGATGGAGGGAAACGTGCCAAGGGGGAGGTGGGTGGGGGGTGGGTGGGGGGGTGGGTGGGGGGGTGGGGGGGTGGGGGGGTGGGTGGGTGGGGGTGGGTGAGTGGGGGGGTGGGGGTGGGTGGGGGGGTGGGGGGGTGGGTGGGGGGGTGAGTGGGTGACTGGCTGGGTGAGTGAGTGGAGGAGTTAGTGGGTGAGTGAGTGGCCTCTCTCCCTCCCCGTGTCTCTCTCTCCCCGTGTCTCTCCCTGTGTCTCTTACTGTGTCTCTCTCCCCGTGTCTCTCTCCCCGTGTCTCTCTCCCCGTGTCTCTCTCCCCGTGTCTCTCTCCCCGTGTCTCCCTGTGTCTCCCCGTGTCTCTCACCGTGTCTCTCACCGTGTCTCTCTCTCACCGTGTCTCTCTCTCTCCCCGTGTCTCTCACCGCGTCCCTCTCCCCGTGTCTCTCTCCCCGTGTCTCTCCCTCCCTCCCCGTGTCTCCCCGTGTCTCTCTCCCCGTGTCTCTCCCCGTGTCTCTCCCTGTGTCTCTTACTGTGTCTCTCTCCCCGTGTCTCTCTCCCCGTGTCTCTCTCCCCGTGTCCCTCTCCCCGTGTCTCCCTGTGTCTCCCCGTGTCTCTCACCGTGTCTCTCTCTCACCGTGTCTCTCTCTCACCGTGTCTCTCTCTCCCCGTGTCTCTCACCGCGTCCCTCTCCCCGTGTCTCTCTCCCCGTGTCTCTCCCTCCCTCCCCGTGTCTCCCCGTGTCTCTCTCCACGTGTCTCTCACCGCGTCTCTCTCTCCCCGTGTCTCTCACCGTGTCTCTCACCGTGTCTCCCTCCCCGTGTCTCTCTCTCCCCATGTCTCTCTGTATCTCTCTCCCCGTGTCTCTCTGTGTCTCTCTCCCTGTGTCTCACCATGTCTCTCTCCCCGCGTCTCTCTCCCCGCGTCTCTCTCCTCGTGTCTCCCTCCCCGTGTCTCTCTCCCTGTGTCTCCTCGTCTCACTCCCCGTGTCTCTCTCCCTGTCTCTCACCGTGTCTCTCTCCCCGTGTCTCTCTCCCCGTGTCTCACTCCCTGTGTCTCCCCGTGTCTCACTCCCCGTGACTCTCTCCCTGTCTCTCATCGTGTCTCTCTCACCGTGTCTCGCTCCCCGTGTCTCTCTCCCCGTGTCTCTCCCCGTGTCTCTCCCTGTGTCTCCCCGTGTCTCCCTCCCCGTGTCTCTCTCTCCCCGTGTCCCTCTCCCCGTGTCTATGCCCGTGTCTCTCACCGTGTCTCCCTCCCTCCCCGTGTCTCCCTCCCCGTGTCTCTCTCTCCCCGTGTCTCTCTCTCCCCGTGTCTCTCTCTCCCCGTGTCTCTCTCTCCGTGTCTCTCCCCGTGTCTCTCACTGTGTCTCTCTCCCCGTGTCTCTCTCCCCGTGTCTCTCTCCCTGTGTCTCTCTCCCCGTGTCTCCCCGTGTCTCTCTCACCGTGTCTCTCTCTCCCCGTGTCTCTCACCGCGTCTCTCTCTCCCCGTGTCTCTCTCCCCGTGTCTCTCACCGTGTCCCTCTCCCCGTGTCTCTCTCCCCGTGTCTCTCCCTCCCTCCCCGTGTCTCTCACCGTGTCTCTCACCGTGTCTCTCACCGCGTCTCTCTCTCCCCGTGTCTCTCCCCGTGTCTCTCTCTCTCTCCCCCTGTGTCTTCCCGTGTCTCCCCGTGTCTCCCCGTCTCTCCCCGTGTCTCTCACCGTGTCCCTCTCCCCGTGTTTCTCTCCCCGTGTCTCTCCCTCCCTCCCCGTGTCTCCCCGTGTCTCTCTCACCGTGTCTCCCTCCCCGTGTCTCTCTCTCCCCGTGTCTCTCCCCGTGTCTCCCCGTGTCTCTCTCACCGTGTCTCCCCGTGTCTCACCGCGTCTCTCACCGCGTCTCTCTCTCCGTCTCTCCCCGTGTCTCTCCCCGTGTCTCTCCCCGTGTCTCTCTCTCCGTGTCTCCCCGTCTCTCCCCGTGTCTCTCCCCGTGTCTCCCCGTGTCTCCCCGTGTCTCACCGCGTCTCTCACCGCGTCTCTCTCTCCCCGTGTCTCCCTGTGTCTCCCTGTCTCTCCCCGTGTCTCTCCCTGTGTCTCCCCCGTGTCTCACCGCCTCTCTCTCTCCCCTTGTCTCCCTCCCTCCCCGTGTCTCCCCGTGTCTCTCTCACCGTGTCTCTCCCCGTGTCTCTCCCCGTGTCTCCCTGTGTCTCCCCGTGTCTCACCGCGTCTCTCACCGCGTCTCTCTCTCCCCTTGTCTCCCCGTGTCTCTCTCCCCCTGTGTCTCCCCGTGTCTCTCTTCCCGTGTCTCCCTGTGTCTCCCTGTGTCTCCCCGTGTCTCTCCCTGTGTCTCCCCCGTGTCTCCCCGCGTCTCTCACCGCGTCTCTCTCTCCCCTTGTCTGCCTCCCTCCCCGTGTCTCCCCGTGTCTCTCTCACCGTGTCTCCCTCCCCGTGTCTCTCTCTCCCCGTGTCTCTCCCCGTGTCTCCCCGTGTCTCTCCCCGTGTCTCCCCGTGTCTCTCTCCCCGTGTCTCTCTCCCCGTGTCTCTCCCCGTGTCTTCCTGTGTCTCCCCGTGTCTCCCTGCGTCTCTCTCACCGTGTCTCTCACCGCGTCTCTCTCTCCCCTTGTCTCCCTCCCTCTCCGTGTCTCTCCCATGTGTCTCTCTCACCGTGTCTCTCACCGCGTCTCTCTCTCCCCTTGTCTCCCTCCCTCCCCGTGTCTCTCCCCCGTGTCTCTCTCACCGTGTCTCTCACCGCGTCTCTCTCTCCCCTTGTCTCCCTCCCTCTCCGTGTCTCTCCCACCATGTCTCTCACCGCGTGTCTCTCTCCCCTTGTCTCCTCCCTCCCCGTGTCTCTCCCCCGTGTCTCTCTCACTGTGTCTCTCACCGTGTCTCTCTCTCCCCTTGTCTCCCTCCCTCTCCGTGTCTCTCCCACCATGTCTCTCACCGCGTGTCTCTCTCCCCTTGTCTCCCTCCCTCCCCGTGTCTCTCCCCCGTGTCTCTCTCACCGTGTCTCTCACCGCGTCTCTCTCTCCCCTTGTCTCCCTCCCTTCCCGTGTCTCACCGTCTCTCACCGTGTCTCTCACCGCGTCTCTCTCTCCCCGTGTCTCCCTGTGTCTCACCGTGTCTCTCACCGCGTCTCTCTCTCACCGTGTCTCTCACCGCGTCTCTCTCTCCCCGTGTCTCCCTGTGTCTCCCTGTGTCTCCCTGTGTCTCTCACCGCGTCTCTCTCTCACCGTGTCTCTCACCGCGTCTCTCTCTCCCCGTGTCTCCCTGTGTCTCCCTGTGTCTCCCTGTGTCTCTCACCGCGTCTCTCTCTCACCGTGTCTCTCACCGCGTCTCTCTCTCCCCGTGTCTCCCTGTGTCTCCCTGTGTCTCCCTGTGTCTCTCACCGCGTCTCTCTCTCACCGTGTCTCTCACCGCGTCTCTCTCTCCCCTTGTCTGCCTCCCTCCCCGTGTCTCTCTCACCGCGTCTCTCTCACCGCGTGTCTCTCTCCCCGTGTCTGCCTCCCTCCCCAGGGTAAGAAGCGGAGGGAGAAGAAGGCCAAGGACCCTGCCGCTCCCAAGCGGCCCCAGTCGGCCTACTTCCTCTGGCTCAACTCAAGCCGAGAGCGAATCCGCTCGGAGAACCCTGGCATAGCCCTCACTGAGCTATCGCGCAAGGCGGGGGAGCAGTGGCAGAGCATGGGGGCAGACGTCAAGAAGGTAGCCCTGGGCGGGCGAATGGGCGGGCGGACGAGTGGATGGGTGGGTGGGTGGGTGAGCGAGTGAATGTGTGGGTGGGTGGGTGAGCGAGTGAATGGGTGGGTGGGTGGGTGAGCGAGTGAATGGGTGGGTGGGTGGGTGGACGAGTGAGTCAGTGACTGGTTTTAGTGAATGAGTAGGTGAGTGGATGGGTGGGTGGGTGAGCGAGTGAATGGGAGGGTGGGTGGGTGGGTGAGTGGGTGAGTGAGTGGGTGAGTGGGTGAGTGAGTGGGTGAGTGGGTGAGCGAGTGGGTGAGTGGCTGGGTGGGTGAGTGAGTGAGTGAGTCAGTGACTGGTTTAGTGAATGAGTGGGTGAGTGGCTGGGTGAGCGAGTGAATGGGTGGGTGATTCAGTGAGTCAGTGACTGGTTTAGTGAATGGGTGGGTGGGTGGGCGAGTGAGTCAGTGACTGGTTTAGTGAATGAGTGGGTGGGTGGGTGAGCGAGTGAGTCAGTGACTGGTTTAGTGAATGGGTGGGTGGGTGGGCGAGTGAGTCAGTGACTGGTTTAGTGAATGAGTGGGTGGGTGGGTGAGCGAGTGAGTCAGTGACTGGTTTAGTGAATGGGTGGGTGGGCGAGTGAGTCAGTGACTGGTTTAGTGAATGAGTGGGTGGGTGGGTGAGCGAGTGAGTCAGTGACTGGTTTAGTGAATGAGTGGGTGGGTGGGCGAGTGAGTCAGTGACTGGTTTAGTGAATGAGTGGGTGGGTGGGTGGGTGAGCGAGTGAGTCAGTGACTGGTTTAGTGAATGGGTGGGTGGGTGGGCGAGTGAGTCAGTGACTGGTTTAGTGAATGAGTGGGTGGGTGGGTGAGCGAGTGAGTCAGTGACTGGTTTAGTGAATGGGTGGGTGGGTGGGTGGGCGAGTGAGTCAGTGACTGGTTTAGTGAATGAGTGGGTGGGTGGGTGAGCGAGTGAGTCAGTGACTGGTTTAGTGAATGAGTGGGTGGGTGGGCGAGTGAGTCAGTGACTGGTTTAGTGAATGAGTGGGTGGGTGGGTGGGTGAGCGAGTGAGTCAGTGACTGGTTTAGTGAATGGGTGGGTGGGTGGGCGAGTGAGTCAGTGACTGGTTTAGTGAATGAGTGGGTGGGTGGGTGAGCGAGTGAGTCAGTGACTGGTTTAGTGAATGGGTGGGTGGGTGGGTGGGCGAGTGAGTCAGTGACTGGTTTAGTGAATGAGTGGGTGGGTGGGTGAGCGAGTGAGTCAGTGACTGGTTTAGTGAATGGGTGGGTGGGTGGGCGAGTGAGTCAGTGACTGGTTTAGTGAATGAGTGGGTGGGTGGGTGAGCGAGTGAGTCAGTGACTGGTTTAGTGAATGGGTGGGTGGGTGGGTGAGTGAGTCAGTGACTGGTTTAGTGAATGGGTGGGTGGGTGGGTGAGCGAGTGAGTCAGTGACTGGTTTAGTGAATGGGTGGGTGGGTGGGCGAGTGAGTCAGTGACTGGTTTAGTGAATGAGTGAGTGGGTGGGTGAGCGAGTGAGTCAGTGACTGGTTTAGTGAAAGGGTGGGTGGGTGGGCGAGTGAGTCAGTGACTGGTTTAGTGAATGGGTGGGTGGGTGGGTGAGCGAGTGAGTCAGTGACTGGTTTAGTGAATGGGTGGGTGGGTGGGTGAGCGAGTGAATGGGTGGGTGGGTGGGTGAGCGAGTGAATGGGTGGGTGGGTGGGTGGGTGAGCGAGTGAATGGGTGGGTGGGTGGGTGAGCGAGTGAGTCAGTGACTGGTTTAGTGAATGGGTGGGTGGGTGAGCGAGTGAGTCAGTGACTGGTTTAGTGAATGGGTGGGTGGGTGGGTGAGCGAGTGAGTCAGTGACTGGTTTAGTGAATGGGTGGGTGGGTGGGCGAGTGAGTCACTGACTGGTTTAGTGAATGAGTGGGTGGGTGGGTGAGCGAGTGAGTCAGTGACTGGTTTAGTGAATGGGTGGGTGGGTGGGTGGGCGAGTGAGTCAGTGACTGGTTTAGTGAATGAGTGGGTGGGTGGGTGAGCGAGTGAGTCAGTGACTGGTTTAGTGAATGGGTGGGTGGGCGAGTGAGTCAGTGACTGGTTTAGTGAATGAGTGGGTGGGTGAGCGAGTGAGTCAGTGACTGGTTTAGTGAATGGGTGGGTGGGTGGGTGGGCGAGTGAGTCAGTGACTGGTTTAGTGAATGAGTGGGTGGGTGGGTGAGCGAGTGAGTCAGTGACTGGTTTAGTGAATGGGTGGGTGGGTGGGCGAGTGAGTCAGTGACTGGTTTAGTGAATGAGTGGGTGGGTGGGTGAGCGAGTGAGTCAGTGACTGGTTTAGTGAATGGGTGGGTGGGCGAGTGAGTCAGTGACTGGTTTAGTGAATGAGTGGGTGGGTGGGTGAGCGAGTGAGTCAGTGACTGGTTTAGTGAATGGGTGGGTGGGTGGGTGGGCGAGTGAGTCAGTGACTGGTTTAGTGACTGAGTGGGTGGGTGGGTGAGCGAGTGAGTCAGTGACTGGTTTAGTGAATTGGTGGGTGGGTGGGCGAGTGAATGGGTGGGTTGGTGGGTGAGCGAGTGAATGGGTGGGTGGGTGGGTGAGCGAGTGAGTCAGTGACTGGTTTTAGTGAATGAGTGGATGGGCGGGTGGGTGATCGAGTGAATGGGTGGGTGGGTGGGTGAGCGAGTGAGTCAGTGACTGGTTTAGTGAATGGGTGGGTGGGTGGGTGAGCGAGTGAATGTGTGGGTGGGTGGGTGAGCGAGTGAGTCAGTGACTGGTTTAGTGAATGGGTGGGTGGGTGGGTGAGCGAGTGAATGGGTGGGTGGGTGGGTGAGCGAGTGAATGGGTGGGTGGGTGGGTGAGCGAGTGAATGGGTGGGTGGGTGGGTGAGCGAGTGAGTCAGTGACTGGTTTTAGTGAATGAGTGGATGGGTGGGTGGGTGATCGAGTGAATGGGTGGGTGGGTGATCGAGTGAGTCAGTGACTGGTTTAGTGAATGAGTAGGTGAGTGGGTGGGTGGGTGAGTGAGTGAGTCAGTGACTGGTTTAGTGAATGAGTCGGTGAGTGGCTGGGTGGGTGAGCGATTGAATGTGTGGGTGGGTGGGTGAGCGAGTGAGTCAGTGACTGGTTTAGTGAATGAGTGGGTGGGTGGCTGGGTGGGTGAGCGAGTGGATGGGTGAGTGAGTCAGTGACTGGTTTAGTGAATGAGTGGGTGAGTGGCTGGGTGGGTGAGTGAGTGAATGGGTGGATGGGTGAGTGAGTGAGTCAGTGACTGGTTTAGTGAATGAGTGGGTGAGTCAGTGACTGGTTTAGTGAATGAGTGGGTGAATGGGTGGGTGTCTGGATGGGTGAGCGAGTGGGTGGGTGAGAGAGTGAGTGAGTCAGTGACTGGTTTAGTGCATGAGTGGGTGAGTGGCTGGGTGGGTGAGTGAGTGAGTGAGTCAGTGACTGGTTTAGTGAATGAGTGGGTGAGTGGGTGGGTGGCTGGGTGGGTGAGCGAGTGGGTGAGTGAGTGAGTCAGTGACTTGTTTAGTGAATGAGTGGATGGGTGGGTGGGTGAGCGAGTGAATGGGTGGGTGGGTGAGCGAGTGAGTCAGTGACTGGTTTAGTGAATGAGTGGGTGAGTGGGTGGGTGGGTGGGTGAGCGAGTGAATGGGTGGCTGGGTGGGTGGGTGAGCGAGTGAGTCAGTGACTGGTTTAGTGAATGAGTGGGTGGGTGGGTGAGCAAGTGAGTCAGTGACTGGTTTAGTGAATGAGTGGGTGGGTGGGTGAGTGAGTCAGTGACTGTTTTAGTGAATGAGTGGGTGAGTGGCTGGATGGGTGGGTGAGCGAGTGAATGGGTGGCTGGGTGGGTGGGTGAGCGAGTGAGTCAGTGACTGGTTTAGTGAATGAGTGGGTGGGTGGGTGAGCGAGTGAGTCAGTGACTGGTTTAGTGAATGAGTGGGTGGGTGGGTGAGTGAGTGAGTCAGTGACTGTTTTAGTGAATGAGTGGGTGAGTGGCTGGATGGGTGGGTGAGCAAGTGAATGGGTGGGTGGGTGAATGAGTGAGTGGGTGAATGAGTGAGTGGGTGAATGAGTGAGTGGGTGAATGAGTGAGTGGGTGAATGAGTGAGTGGGTGAATGAGTGAGTGGGTGAATGAGTGAGTCGGTGAATGAGTGAGCGGGTGAATGAATGAGCGGGTGGGTGAATGAGCAAGTGGGTGAATGAGCGAGTGGGTGAATGAGCGAGTGGGTGAATGAGCGAGTGGGTGAATGAATGAGTGAGTGGGTGAATGAATGAGTGAGTGGGTGAATGAGTGAGTGGGTGGGTGAATGAGTGAGCGGGTGAATGAGTGAGCGGGTGAATGAGTGAGCGGGTGAATGAGTGGGTGGGTGAATGAGTGAGTGGGTGGGTGAATGAGTGAGTGGGTGGGTGAATGAGTGAGTGGGTGGGTGAATGAGTGAGTGGGTGGGTGAATGAGTGAGTGGGTGGGTGAATGAGTGATTGGGTGAATGAGTGAGTGGGTGGGTGAATGAGTGACTAGGTGGGTGAATGAGTGACTGGGTGAATGAGTGAGTGGGTGGGTGAATGAGTGACTGGGTGAATGAGTGAGTGGGTGGGTGAATGAGTGACTGGGTGGGTGAATGAGTGACTGGGTGAATGAGTGAGTGGGTGGGTGAATGAGTCACTGGGTGGGTGAATGAGTGACTGGGTGAATGAGTGAGTTGGAGAGGTGGTGGGAAACCAGTTCACCAGTTTGTTTCACTGTGTGTGTGTGTTTCACTGTGTGTGTGTCACTGTGTGTGTGTGTTTCACTGTGTGTGTGTCACTGTGTGTGTGTGTCACTGTGTGTGTGTGTCACTGTGTGTGTTACTGTGTGTGTGTCACTATGTGTGTGTGTGTGTGTCACTATGTGTGTGTCACTATGTGTGTGTGTGTCACTATGTGTGTGTGTCACTATGTGTGTGTGTGTGTCACTGTGTGTGTGTCACTGTGTGTGTCACTGTGTGTGTCACTGTGTGTGTGTGTCACTGTGTGTGTGTGTGTCACTGTGTGTGTGTGTGTCACTGTGTGTGTGTGTCACTGTGTGTGTGTGTGTCACTGTGTGTGTGTGTCACTGTGTGTGTGTGTCACTGTGTGTGTGTGCGTGCGCGTGTGCGTGTCACTGTGTGTGTGCGTGTGTGTATGCGTGTGTGTATGCGTGTGTGTGACTGTGCGTGTGTGACTGTGTGCGTGTGTGTGTGTGTGACTGTGTGCGTGTGTGTGTGTATATGCGTGTGTGTGTGTGTGTGAGACTGTGTGTGTGACTGTGTGCGTGTGTGTGTGACTGTGCGTGTGTGTGTGTGACTGTGCGCGTGTGTGTGTGACTGTGCGCGTGTGTGTGTGACTGTGTGTGTGTCTGTGTGTGTGTGACTGTGTGTGTGTCTGTGTGTGTGTGACTGTGTGTGTGTGTATGTGACTGTGTGTGTGACTGTGTGTGTCTGTGTGACTGTGTGTGTCTGTGTGTGACTGTGTGACTGTGTGTGTGTGACTGTGTGTGTGTGACTGTGTGTGACTGTGTGTGACTGTGTGTGTGTGTGTGTGACTGTGTGTGTGTGTGACTGTGTGTGTGTGTGACTGTGTGTGTGTGTGACTGTGTGTGTGTGTGACTGTGTGTGTGACTGTGTGTGTGTGACTGTGTGTGTGTTTACACTGTGTGTGTGTGTACACTGTGTGTGTGTGTACACTGTGTGTGTGTGTGACTGTGTGTGTGTACACTGTGTGTGTGTGACTGTGTGTGTGTACACTGTATGTATGTGTGTACACTGTGTGTGTGTGACTGTGTGTGTGTACACTGTATGTATGTGTGTACACTGTGTGTGTGTGACTGTGTGTGTGTACACTGTATGTATGTGTGTACACTGTGTGTGTGTGACTGTGTGTGTGTACACTGTATGTATGTGTGTACACTGTGTACACTGTGTGTGACTGTGTATGTGTGTGTGTGACTGTGTGTGTATGAGTGACTGTATGTGTGTGTGTGTACACTGTGTATGTACACTGTGTGTGTGTGTACACTGTGTGTGTACACTGTGTGTGTACACTGTGTGTGTGTGACTGTGTGTATACACTGTATGTGACTGTGTGTGACTGTGTGTACACTGTATGTGTGTGTGACTGTATGTGTGACTGTATGTATGACTGTGTGTGACTGTGTGTGTGTGTGTACACTGTGTGTGTGTGTGACTGTGTGTGTGTGTGTACACTGTGTGTGTACACTGTATGTGTGTGTGTGTGACTGTGTGTGTGTACACTGTATGTATGTGTGTACACTGTGTGTGTGTGACTGTGTGTGTGTACACTGTATGTATGTGTGTACACTGTGTGTACACTGTGTGTGTGACTGTGTATGTGTGTGTGTGTGACTGTGTGTGTACACCGTGTGTGTCTGTGTGTGTACACTGTATGTATGTGTGTACACTGTGTACACTGTGTGTGACTGTGTGTGTGTGTGTGACTGTGTGTGTATGTGTGACTGTATGTGTGTGTGTGTACACTGTGTGTGTACACTGTGTGTGTGTGTGTGACTGTGTGTGTACACTGTATGTGACTGTGTGTGTACACTGTGTGTGTGTGTGACTGTGTGTGTACACTGTGTGTGTGTGTGACTGTGTGTGTACACTGTGTGTGTGTGTGACTGTGTGTGTACACTGTGTGTGTGACTGTGTGTGTACACTGTATGTGTCTGACTGTGTGTGTACACTGTGTGTATGTGACTGTATGTGTGTGTGTGACTGTGTGTGTACACTGTGTGTGACTGTATGTGTGTGTGTGTACACTGTGTGTGACTGTATGTGTGTGTGTGTACACTGTGTGTGTGTGTACACTGTGTGTGTGTGTACACTGTGTGTGTGTGTGTACACTGTGTGTGTGTGTGTACACTGTATGTATGTGTGTACACTGTGTGTGTGACTGTGTATGTGTGTGTGTGTGACTGTGTGTGTACACTGTGTGTGTCTGTGTGTGTACACTGTATGTATGTGTGTACAATGTGTGTACACTGTGTGTACACTGTGTGTGACTGTGTGTGTGTGTGTGACTGTGTGTGTATGTGTGACTGTATGTATGTATGTGTGTGTGTACACTGTGTGTGTACACTGTGTGTGTGTGTGTACACTGTGTGTGTGTGTGTACACTGTGTGTGTGTGTGACTGTGTGTGTGTGTGACTGTGTGTGTACACTGTGTGTGTGTGTGACTGTGTGTGTACACTGTGTGTGTGTGACTGTGTGTGTACACTGTGTGTGTGTGTGACTGTGTGTGTACACTGTGTGTGTGTGTGACTGTGTGTGTACACTGTGTGTGTGTGTGACTGTGTGTGTACACTGTGTGTGTGTGTGACTGTGTGTGTACATTGTGTGTGTGTGTGACTGTGTGTGTACACTGTGTGTGTGTGTGTGACTGTGTGTGTACACTGTATGTGTCTGACTGTGTGTGTACACTGTGTGTATGTGACTGTATGTGTGTGTGTGTGACTGTGTGTGTACACTGTGTGTGTGTGACTGTGTGTGTACACTGTGTGACTGTATGTATGTGTGTGAGACTCTGTGTGTGTACACTGTATGTGACTGTGTGTGTGTACACTGTGTGACTGTGTGTGTACACTGTATGTGAATGTGTGTGTGTACACTGTATGTGTGTACACTGTATGTGACTGTGTGTGTGTGTACACTGTATGTGTGTACACTGTATGTGACTGTGTGTACACTGTATGTGTGTACACTGTATGTGACTGTGTGTGACTGTATGTGTGTGTGTACACTGTATGTGTGTGTGTGTACACTGTATGTGTGTGTGTGAGACTCTGTGTGTGTGTGTACACTGTGTGTGTACACTGTGTGTGACTGTATGTATGTGTGTGTGAGACTGTGTGTGTGTACACTGTGTGTGTGACTGTGTGTGTACACTGTATGTGTGTGTGTGTGCGTTCGCGCTCAGGAGTGGGAGCGGAAGGCCGACGAGGGCAAGCGAGAGTACGCGGCGGCCATGACAGAATACAGGAGCAGCGGAGCAGCTGATGCACACAAGTAAGGGCTCGCTCGCGTGCACGGGTACACACACACACACATACACACACGTGTACACACACATACACACACGTGTACACACACATACACACACGTGTACACACACACGGCTACACACACACACGTGTACACACACACACACACGTGTACACACACACACACGTGTACACACACACACACGTGCACACACACACACGTGTACACACACACACGTGTACACACACACACACGTGTACACACACACACACACACGTCTACACACACACACACGTGTACACACACACACACACGTGTACACACACACGTGTACACACACACACACACGTGTACACACACACACACACGTGTACACACACACACACACACGTGTACACACACACGTGTACACACACACGGGTACACACACATACTGGTACACACATACACACACATACACACACACATACACACACACACGTATACACACACACAGGTACACACACAGGTACACACACACAGGTACACACACATGTACACACACACACGTGTACACACGTACACACAGATACACACACACACGGGTACACACACACACACGTGTACACACACACACGTGTACACACACACACGGGTACACACACGGGTACACACACACACACACGTGTACACACACACGGGTACACACACACACGGGTACACACACACACACGGGTACACACACGGGTACACACACACACACACACGTGTACACACACACACACACGGGTACACACACGGGTACACACACACACGGGCACACACACACACACGGGTACACACACACACATGTGCAGGAAAGCCTGCCATTCCCCGCAAGATTCTTTCACGACCAATGTAATCTATAATAGAGGTGTTTTTGTTTATTTGGGTTAGATCACGTCAGTTTAACCCGCCACCACCTGACAAATCCAATCGGTAAAGGGTTACACAACACATCTCGCGTGAGCCAATCGGAGTGCGATGAACGCGACGATGTCGTCACCCCGGTGAGCCAATCGGGGTGCGATGAACACGATGATGTCATCACGCGTGAGCCAACCCGGGTGCGATGAACGCGATGACGTCGTCACCCCGTGAGCCAATCAGAGTGCGATGAACGCGATGATGTCATCACCCGTTAGCCAATCGGGCTGCGATGAACGCGATGATGTCATCACGCGTGAGCCAATCCGGGTGCGATGAACGCGATAATGTCGTCACCCGGTGAGCCAATCGGAGTGCGATGAACGCGACGACGTCGTCACCCGGTGAGCCAATCGGGGTGCGATGAACTGCGACGACGTCGTCACCCGGTGAGCCAATCGGAGTGCGATGAACTGCGATGATGTGTCGTCACCCCGGTGAGCCAATCGGAGTGCGATGAACTGCGACGACGTCGTCACCCGGTGAGCCAATCGGGGTGCGATGAACTGCGACGATGGGATACGCATTACCGGCTGGGCTATCCATAGCAGGGTATTTGACGTGCACGTTGCTCGCTGTGCTCCACGCTGTGCTCCACGCTGTGCTCCACGCTGTGCCCCACGACCCGCCCGCGCAGGGAGCTGATGAGCCGCAGGGAGAAGCCCTCCTCCCCACCTCCCTCGTCGTCCTCCTCCAAGAAGACCTCGGGCACCTCGTCGTCACGGAAGCCCAAGGCGGCCGCCGCCGCCACCTCGTCGCCCATCGTCGCCAAGAGCAAGGAGTACGTGTCCAGCAGCAGCGGCAGCAGCAGCAGCAGCGGCGGCGACGACGACGATAGCGACGGCGATGGCGACAGCCAGGCGAAGAAGAAGAAGGAGAAGGAGGTGGCGGCCAAGAAGGAGGTGGCCAAGAAGGAGGTGGCGGCCAAGAAGGAGGTGGCCAAGAAGGAGGTGGCCAAGAAGGAGGCGGCGGCCAAGAAGGAGGTGGCCAGGAAGAGGCCGGCGGCGTCGCCTGCGGGGAAGAAGAAAAAGCAGAAGAAGGGGGGCGACAGCAGCGAGGTGAGTGAGTGAGGAGGTGAGTGAGGAGGTGAGTGAGGAGGTGAGTGAGGAGGTGAGTGAGGAGGTGAGTGAGTGAGGTGAGTGAGTGAGGTGAGTGAGCGTGTGAGTGAGGAGGTGAGGAGTTGAGTGAGCGTGTGGGTGAGGAGTTGAGTGAGCGTGTGAGTGAGGAGGTGAGGAGTTGAGTGAGCGTGTGAGTGAGGAGGTGAGTTGAGTGAGCGTGTGAGTGAGGAGGTGAGTGAGCGTGTGAGTGAGGAGGTGAGTTGAGTGAGCGTGTGAGTGAGGAGGTGAGTTGAGTGAGCGTGTGAGTGAGGAGGTGAGTGAGCGTGTGAGTGAGAAGGTGAGGAGGTGAGTGAGCGTGTGAGTGAGCGTGTGAGTGAGTGAGGAGGTGAGTGTGTACGAGTGAGTCAGGCGAGTGAGTGTGTACGAGTGAGTCAGGCGAGTGAGTATGCGAGTGAGTGTGTGTGTGTGCGAGTGAGTCAGGCGAGTGAGTGTGTGCGGGTAAGTGTGTGCGAGTGAGTGTGTGCGAGTGAGTCAGGCGAGTGAGTGTGTGTGAGTGAGTCAGGCGAGTGAGTGTGTGTGAGTGAGTCAGGCGAGTGTGTGTGTGTGCGAGTGAGTCAGGCGAGTGAGTGTGTGCGGGTAAGTGTGTGCGAGTGAGTGTGTGCGAGTGAGTCAGGCGAGTGAGTGTGTGTGAGTGAGTCAGGCGAGTGAGTGTGTGTGAGTGAGTCAGGCGAGTGTGTGTGTGTGCGAGTGAGTCAGGCGAGTGAGTGTGTGCGGGTAAGTGTGTGCGAGTGAGTGTGCGAGTGAGTCAGGCGAGTGAGTGTGTGTGAGTGAGTCAGGAGAGTGAGTGTGTGTGAGTGAGTCAGGCGAGTGAGTCAGGCGAGTGAGTCAGGCGAGTGAGTGTGCGAGTGAGTGTGCGAGTGAGTGTGTGCGAGTGAGTCAGGCGAGTGAGTGTGTGCTAGTGAGCTAGGCGAGTGAGTCAGGTGAGTCAGGTGAGTGAGTCAGGTGAGTCAGGTGAGTGAGCTAGGCGAGGGAGTTAGGTGAGTGAGTCAGGCGAGTGAGTTAGGTGAGTGACTAAGTGAGGAGGTGAGTGTGTGTGAGGGAGTTAGTTAGGTGAGGTGAATATGAGTGAATATGAGTGATCGTGTGTGAGTGAGCTAGGTGAGTGAGCTAGGTGAGCGAGTTAGGTGAGTGAGTGTGTGCGAGTGAGTCAGGCGAGTGAGTCAGGCGAGTGAGTGTGTGCGAGTGAGTCAGGCGAGTGAGTGTGTGCGAGTGAGTGTGTGCGAGTGAGTCAGGCGAGTGAGTGTGTGCGAGTGAGTGTGTGCGAGTGAGTGCGTGCGAGTGAGTGCGTGCGAGTGAGTCAGGCGAGTGAGTCAGGCGAGTGAGTGTGTACGAGTGAGTGTGCGAGTGAGTCAGGCGAGTGAGTGTGTGTGAGTGAGTGTGTGCGAGTGAGTCAGGCGAGTGAGTGTGTGCGAGTGAGCTAGGCGAGTGAGTCAGGTGAGTCAGGTGAGTGAGTCAGGTGAGTGAGTCAGGTGAGTCAGGTGAGTGAGCTAGGCGAGTGAGTTAGGTGAGTGAGTCAGGCGAGTGAGTTAGGTGAGTGTCTAAGTGAGGAGGTGAGTGTGTGTGAGTGAGTTAGTTAGGTGAGGTGAATATGAGTGAATATGAGTGATCGTGTGTGAGTGAGCTAGGTGAGTGAGTTAGGTGAGTGAGTTAGCGTGTGTGAGTGAGTTAGGTGAGTGAGCTAGGTGAGTGAGTTAGGTGAGTGAGTGCGTGCGAGTGAGTCAGGCGAGTGAGTGTGCGACTGAGTGTGTGCGAGTGAGTCAGGCGAGTGAGTGTGCGAGTGAGTGTGTGCGAGTGAGTCAGGCGAGTGAGTGTGCGAGTGAGTGTGTGCGAGTGAGTCAGGCGAGTGAGTGTGCGAGTGAGTGTGTGCGAGTGAGTCAGGCGAGTGAGTGTGCGAGTGAGTGTGTGCGAGTGAGTCAGGCGAGTGAGTGTGCGAGTGAGTGTGCGAGTGAGTCAGGCGAGTGAGTGTGTGCGAGTGAGTCAGGCGAGTGAGTGTGTGCGAGTGAGTGTGTGCGAGTGAGTCAGGCGAGTGAGTGCGTGCGAGTGAGTCAGGCGAGTGAGTGTGCGAGTGAGTGTGTGCGAGTGAGTCAGGCGAGTGAGTGTGCGAGTGAGTGTGTGCGAGTGAGTCAGGCGAGTGAGTGTGCGAGTGAGTGCGTGTGAGTGAGTGTGTGCTGGTGACCCCCCCCACCCCACCTCCCCCTTCTCCACGTTAAATCAAATGACCACAAAACCACAACTTAAACATCGGGCTAAGCCTGCGCCTGAGGCCGCCGAGGGCCCGGGGGGGGGGGATAGGGGCGCTACAGTCGTCGGTGACGTCCCCTGGCCCAAGCACACCGCACGTGGCGGAGCCGGGAGACTGAACCCCGCTGCAGCCTCGGGGGCTCGTCCACGAAGGGGGGGGGGGGGGGCGAAATCCACGGCGTGGAATGCCGGAGCGCTCGCTGCGGGAGGCAGAGGCTGTGCCCCACTCCTCCGTCGGCAGCTGGGACCGCTGCCGACTGGATCTCTGCGGCATTCAGGAGGGCTCCGGCGGTTACCGGCTCCGGCTCCGGCTCCGGCTCCGGCTCCTTCTGCCGCCTTTCGGGGCGGACGGTCCTTAAACTCGGGGCAGCGGGCTGCCAAGCAACAGGGGGGGGGGGGGGGAGCGGTGAGGTGTGTGGGAAGCTGTAAAAGCACCGGGGCTACCGTGGGCTCGCCTTGCCATCAACCGGAGGGCGAGGAGTGGCGGTCGTGGTTGCTTGTGCCCCCCCCCCCCCCCCCACCGAAGACGGACACCCGTGGCGGAGGGATGCGGGCAAGGCCGACGAGCCGGATGCCTCCCTATGACCTCCCGTCGCAGGCGCTGGCTAAAGCGGCCCCCTCGGGATGGAGTCATCTTGTTTGGGGCGACTTCAACGCCCGAGTTGGCCATGACGCAGACGCCTGGGTCAGAGTGGATTGGAGGCCATGGGCCAGATCAGCTGAGTAGCAACGGTAGGAGGCCGTCAGACTTCCGTGCAACGCATGGGCTTGTAATTACCAACGCGCTGTTCCGGCATCGGCGCATCCGCACAACATCACGGACGCATGCCGGGTCCAAGCAAGAACATCTGCTGGACTGCGTAGCGACGGAACAGCGGATGCGGGCCCACGTCCTTGACACCAGGACCTACCGTGGAGCTGATCTGCCCACTGACCATCGGCTTGTCATCTGTGAGAGGCGCCTGCCGTTCTTCCACTTTTACGGCAGCCTTCACTCTCGAGAGAGCCGTGCGGCACGGCTAGGGTGAGTGGTGATCACAATGCGCTCTTGGAATTGTGCGGTGATCCGATCTCCGAACTTCCGGGAAATTGTCTGCAGGTTGGGCCGAGCGTTTCTGTGATGTCCTGGGGGAGGGGGAATCTCTCATGCCCGGAAAACATCGTGGCGCAAAGCGGGGATGACCCTGCTGAGGCTTGCGGTGCCTCAAATATTGGAAGAAGTCACCCCCTGTGAGTGGCTGGCTGAGGTGCCATCTGTTGAGGAAGTACTGAAGGCGATCCGGAGTCTGAGACCAGGAAAGGCGCCGGGCAGAGATGATCTCCCAAGCGAAATGCTGAGGGAGGGTGCCGTCTGTGTTTCAGACTGCCCTACGTGACATCATAACAACAGTCTGGACCACTGGACGGGTTCCGCAGGTTTGGAAGGATGCCCTGGTGGTCCCCCTCTTTAAGAATGGGGGACCGCACAGACTGTAACAACTACAGGGGCATCTCGCTTCCTCAGTGTGCCGGGAAAGGTCCCTGGCAAGGATTATTTAACATCGCCTTGCCAGGCACGCTGAGGAGAGGCTTGCGGAGCCCCAATGCGGTTTCAGGAAAGGTCGGTCCTGCACAGATGCCATGTTTTCTGTCTGGCTGCTACAGCAGAGGTGTAGGGAATTCCAGCAATACCTACATCTCTGCTTTATTGACCTGGTCAATGCCTATGATACCATCAGTAGGCCTGGGCTCTGGGTTGTTCTTCGTGCTTTTGGAGTACCTGACCCTCTGCTCACGATCATTAAGGACCTTCATGATGGTGAGCGGGCCCGGGTAAAACTACGTGACCGGGAGTCAAAGCCATTCCCTGTTCACCTTCGGGTGCGACAGGGATGCCATCTGGCTCCCACATTACTTAACATCTTTTTTGACCACGTAGTTCGTGAAGCCTTCAATAGCTGTATCGGAGGAATTTCCATCTTGTACAGATACAATGGGAGGCTGATCGATGCCCGGGTGCGGTCAAGGAATGACTCCCTATATTGGTCAACCACGTTATGTATGCCGATGATTTGGTAATAGCTGCTCACTCGGAGGAGGAGTTGGAGGCGCTGCTGCTGAGACTGGAGCGTGCCACTAAGAGATGGGGCCTTACCATCAGCCCCACCAAAACTAAGCACCTGCCTGGGTATTTTGTACCATCGGACACTCCACCCGCACAACTCCCAGGTGGTGATGAGGCATTTGTAGAGAGAGTGGAGAGTTGCCCATACCTGGGCAGTGTGCTCATGGCCGGCTCCGGTTTGACAGCAGAGGTCTCACTCTGAATCAGTCGAGCGGAAATATATTTTCATCGTGTGCGTAACGATGTGTGGAAGCTACCTGGTCTGTCGCTTTACACAAAGCTTCAGGTCTTCTCGGCCACGGTCATTCCCTCCCTTCTCTACGCTCGTTAAACGTAGACCCCCCGAATGGAACATCTTCGCCGGTTAGAAACATTCAGGCTGGCCTGCCTACCACCCATCCTGGGTTCAACCAGCTCACAAATCCTTGAAAGATCTGGACAAAGTCCCATCGGTGAGCTCCTCCGGCGGGCAAGGCTGCATTGGCTGGGTCATGTAGCCCACATGCCCAGCCACCGCATGCCCAAACAGCTTTTGTTCGGCCGGATCGAGGGGGCTAAACGGGCGCGGCACGGGCTAGAGAAGAGATGGAGTGACGTGGTACAGGAGGATGTGGAGCTGAGTGGACTTGCCGATGACCGCTACCAGCGGTGTCAAGATCGGCCTCTGCGGAGGAGGCTCGTGAAGGACGCTACTGGGCATTTGGAGGCAGTCGCCCTTCAACAACAACGGAGGGCGGAGGAGCGACGCTCACAACAACGAGCGGAGCGCCGGGTGGCTAAAGCACAGCAGGTTGGCACAGTAGGGGGCACAGGTGGTGCATCAGCCAGTCATCTCAGTCAGTGACCCGTGGCACCTGGGTCTGCCCCGTGACCTCCTGTCAGCGGGCGTTCGACACTTCACGTGGCCTCAATGTGCACATAGCCTGGCACAAGTGTCGTGGTGACATCACCGCCACTTAGTGGCGAATGGTGGTTGTGTTAGGTGAGTGTGTTGGTGTGAGTGTGAGGTGAGTGTGAGGTGAGTGTGTTGGTGTGAGTGTGAGGTGAGTGTGAGGTGTGTTGGTGTGAGGTGAGTGTGTTGGTGTGAGTGTAAGGTGTGTGTGTGAGTGTGAGGTGAGTGTTGGTGTGAGTGTGAGGTGAGTGTGAGGTGAGTGAGTGTGTTGGTGTGAGTGTGAGGTGAGTGTCAGGTGAGTGAGTGTGTTGGTGTGAGTGTGAGGTGAGTGTTGGTGTGAGTGTGAGGTGAGTGTGTGAGTGTGAGGTGAGTGTTGGTGTGAGTGTGAGGTGAGTGTGTGAGGTGAGTGTTGGTGTGAGTGTGAGGTTAGTGTTGGTGTGAGGTGAGTGAGCTGGTGTGAGGTGAGTGTTGGTGTGAGTGTGAGGTGAGTGCGTTGGTGTGAGTGTGAGGTGAGTGTGTTGGTGTGAGTGTGAGGTGAGTGTTGGTGTGAGTGTGAGGTGAGTGTGTTGGTGTGAGTGTGAGGTGAGTGTTGGTGTGAGTGTGAGGTGAGTGTGTTGGTGTGAGTGTGAGGTGAGTGTTAGTGTGAGGAGTGTGTTGGTGTGAGGTGAGTGTGTTGGTGTGAGTGTGAGGTGAGTGTGAGGTGAGTGAGTGTGTTGGTGTGTGAGGTGAGTGTGTTGGTGTGAGTGTGAGGTGAGTGTGTTGGTGTGAGTGTGAGGTGAGTGTTGGTGTGAGTGTGAGGTGAGTGTGTTGGTGTGAGTGTGAGGTGAGTGTTAGTGTGAGGAGTGTGTTGGTGTGAGGTGAGTGTGTTGGTGTGAGTGTGAGGTGAGTGTGAGGTGAGTGAGTGTGTTGGTGTGAGGTGAGTGTGTTGGTGTGAGTGTGAGGTGAGTGTGAGTGTGAGGTGAGTGTGTTGGTGTGTGAGGTGAGTGTGTTGGTGTGAGTGTGAGGTGAGTGTGTTGGTGTGAGTGTGAGGTGAGTGTGTTAGTGTGAGGAGTGTGTTGGTGTGAGGTGAGTGTGTTGGTGTGAGGTGAGGTGAGTGTGAGGTGAGTGAGTGTGTTGGTGTGTGAGGTGAGTGTGTTGGTGTGAGGTGAGTGTGTTGGTGTGAGTGTGAGGTGAGTGTGTTGGTGTGAGTGTGAGGTGAGTGTGTTGGTGTGTGAGGTGAGTGTGTTGGTGTGTGAGGTGAGTGTGTTGGTGTGAGTGTGAGGTGAGTGTTGGTGTGAGTGTGAGGTGTGTGCGTTGGTGTGAGGAGTGTGTTGGTATGAGTGTGAGGTGAGTGTGAGTGAGTGTGTTGGTGTGAGTGTGAGGTGAGTGAGTTGGTGTGAGTGTGTTGGTGTGAGTGTGAGGTGAGTGAGTGTTGGTGTGAGTGTGAGGTGAGTGTGAGGTGAGTGTGAGGTGAGTGTGTTGGTGTGAGTGTGAGGTGAGTGTGAGGTGAGTGTGTGTGGTGTGAGTGTGAGGTGAGTGTGTTGGTGTGAGGTGAGTGTGAGGTGAGTGTGTTGGTGTGAGTGTGAGGTGAGTGTGTTGGTGTGAGTGTGAGGTGAGTGTGTGTGGTGTGAGTGTGAGGTGAGTGTGTGTGGTGTGTGAGGTTAGTGTTGGTGTGAGTGTGAGGTGAGTGTAACCGTGTGGTTGTCTGCCCACTTCTCCAGGGTTCTGATGATGATGATGAGATGGAGGAGGAGGAGGAGGAGGCGGTGAGCACCCCCTCATCGTCAAAGTCAGACGACGACTGAAGAGAAGGCTGGAGCCAGCGTCATCATCGCCATCGTCATGACATCATGTGATCATATCATCATCGTCGTCATGGTGACATCATCGCCCAATCATGACATCGTCATCGCCGTCCGGATGATGACATCACCGCTGCATCACCGTCATGACATCATATGATCATACCGTCGTCATCATGGTGACATCCGTCCGGATGATGACATCACCGCTTCATCACCATCATGAAATCATATGATCGTATCGTCGTCGTCATGGTGACATCCGTCCGTATGATGACATCACCACTTCATCACCGTCATGACATCGCCATCGTGATGACTGCTACACATTGTCATCGTGACAGCATCGCCTCGTGACATCAGCATCATGACATCATCGCCGCCATGATGATGACACCACATCGTGACATCATCACCATCGTGATAACGTCATCGTCGCCGTCATGACATCATCCCACCTTGACCACATCGTCATCACGTACGTTAATGTAACGTCATCACACGTCGCTGTAACATCATCACACGTCACTCTAACATCATCACACGTCACTCTAACATCATCACACGTCACTCTAACATCATCACACGTCACTCTAACATCATCACACGTCACTCTAACATCGTCACACGTCACGGTAACATCGTCACACGTCACTGTAACATCATCACACGTCACTCTAACATCGTCACACGTCGCTCTAACATCATCACACGTCGCTCTAACATCATCACACGTCACTGTAACATCATCACACGTCACTGTTACATCATCACACGTCACTGTTACATCATCACACGTCACTGTTACATCATCACACGTTACTGTAACGTCATCACACGTCACTCTAACATCATCACACGTCACTGTAACGTCATCACACGTCACCGTAACATCATCACACGTCACTCTAACGTCATCACACGTCACTCTAACGTCATCACACGTCACTCTAACGTCATCACACGTCACTCTAACGTCATCACGCGTCACTCTAACATCATCACACGTCACTCTAACATCATCACACGTCACTCTAACGTCATCACACGTCACTCTAACATCATCACACGTCACTCTAACATCATCACACGTCGCTGTAACATCGTCACACGTCACTCTAACATCGTCACACGTCACTGTAACATCATCACACGTCACTCTAACATCGTCACACGTCACTCTAACATCATCACACGTCACTGTTACATCATCACACGTGACTCTAACATCACCACACGTCACTCTAACATCATCACACGTCACTCTAACATCATCACACGTCACTCTAACATCATCACACGTCACTCTAACATCATCACACGTCACTAACATTGTCACACGTCGCTGTAACATCATCACACGTCACTCTAACATCATCACACGTCACTCTAACATCATCACACGTCACTCTAACGTCATCACACGTCACTCTAACATCATCACACGTCACTCTAACATCATCACACGTCGCTGTAACATCGTCACACGTCACTCTAACATCGTCACACGTCACTCTAACATCATCACACGTCACTCTAACATCATCACACGTCACTCTAACATCATCACACGTCGCTGTAACATCATCACACGTCACTCTAACATCGTCACACGTCACTCTAACATCATCACACGTCACTCTAACATCATCACACGTCACTCTAACATCATCACACGTCACTCTAACATCATCACACGTCGCTCTAACATCATCACACGTCACTCTAACATCATCACACGTCGCTGTAACATCGTCACACGTCACTCTAACATCGTCACACGTCACTCTAACATCATCACACGTCACTCTAACATCGTCACGCGTCACTCTAACATCATCACACGTCACTCTAACATCATCACACGTCACTCTAACGTCATCACACGTCGCTCTAACGTCATCACACGTCACTCTAACATCATCACACGTCACTGTTACATCATCACACGTCACTGTTACATCATCACACGTCACCCTAACGTCATCACACGTCACTGTTACATCATCACACGTCACTCTAACATCATCACACGTCACTCTAACATCATCACACGTCACTCTAACATCATCACACGTCACTCTAACATCGTCACGCGTCACTCTAACATCATCACACGTCACTGTAACATCATCACACGTCACTCTAACATCATCACACGTCACTCTAACATCGTCACGCGTCACTCTAACATCATCACACGTCACTCTAACATCATCACACGTCGCTCTAACATCATCACACGTCACTGTAACATCATCACACGTCACTCTAACATCATCACACGTCGCTGTAACATCATCACACGTCACTCTACCATCGTCACACGTCACTGTAACATCATCACACGTCACTCTAACGTCATCACACGTCGCTGTAACATCATCACACGTCACTCTAACATCATCACACGTCACTATAACATCATCACGCGTCACTGTTACATCATCACACGTCACTCTAACATCATCACACGTCACTCTAACATCATCACACGTCACTATAACATCATCACGCGTCACGGTAACGTCATCACACCTCGCTGTTACATAGTCACACGTCACTGTAACATCATCACACGTCACTCTAACATCGTCACACGTCACTGTAACATCATCACACGTCACTGTTACATCATCACACGTCACGGTAACGTCATCACACGTCGCGGTAACATCACGTTCCGGTAAAATCACGGTAACATCGTGAGCAGAGAGGAGCTTGTGAGTGGATTTTTCTAAAATAAACGTTAAGTTAAACCATTGCCTCTCGCTCTCCCGGCTTTATTCTGAACCCCCCACCGTTTTGCAGGAACGTTTGTGCTTACGGAATATTCCAGTGACGAACTTTCAGAGGTACAAAGAAACCTGTCCCCCCCCCCCACCGTAGGTCCAGCTGCAGCTGTTCGAACTCGAGAGTCGTAAGTTCAGCCGCCGTGCAATAGATGGCGGTGGTGGCGTCTACATCTGTAGAACGTGAAGAACCAGTGGCGTCTACGTCTGTAGAACGTGAAGAACCAGTGGCATCTACAGAACATAAAGAACCAGTGGCATCTACATTTACAGAACATAAAGAACCAGTGGCATCTACATCTACAGAACGTGAAGAACCAGTGGCGTTTACAGAACGTGAAGAACCAGTGGCATCTACATCTACAGAACGTGAAGAATCAGTGGCATCTACATCTACAGAACGTGAAGAACCAGTGGCATCTACATCTACAGAACGTGAAGAACCAGTGGCGTTTACAGAACGTGAAGAACCAGTGGCATCTACATCTACAGAACGTGAAGAATCAGTGGCATCTACATCTACAGAACGTGAAGAACCAGTGGCGTTTACATCTACAGAACGTGAAGAACCAGTGGCGTTTACATCTACAGAACGTGAAGAACCAGTGGCGTTTACATCTACAGAACGTGAAGAACCAGTGGCATCTACATCTGCAGAACGTGAAGAACTAGTGGCATCTACATCTGTAGAACGTGAAGAACCAGTGGCGTCTACGTCTGTAGAACGTGAAGAACCAGTGGCATCTACATCTGCAGAACGTGAAGAACCAGTGGCATCTACATCTGCAGAACGTGAAGAACCAGTGGCATCTACATCTGCAGAACGTGAAGAACCAGTGGCATCTACATCTACAGAACGTGAAGAACCAGTGGCATCTACAGAACGTGAAGAACCAGTGGCATCTACATCTGCAGAACGTGAAGAACCAGTGGCATCTACATCTACAGAACGTGAAGAACCAGTGGCATCTACATCTACAGAACATGAAGAACCAGTGGCGTCTACATCTGCAGAACGTGAAGAACCAGTGGCATCTACATCTGCAGAAGGTGAAGAACCAGTGGCATCTACATCTGTAGAACGTGAAGAACCAGTGGCGTCTACAGAACGTGAAGAACCAGTGGCATCTACATCTGCAGAACGTGAAGAACCAGTGGCATCTACAGAACGTGAAGAACCAGTGGCATCTACATCTGTAGAACGTGAAGAACCAGTGGCGTCTACAGAACGTGAAGAACCAGTGGCATCTGCAGAACAGAAAGAACCAGTGGCATCTACAGAACGTGAAGAACCAGTGGCATCTACATCTGCAGAACGTGAAGAACCAGTGGCGTCTACATCTACAGAACGTGAAGAACCAGTGGCGTCTACATCTACAGAACGTGAAGAACCAGTGGCGTCTACATCTGCAGAACGTGAAGAACCAGTGGCGTCTACATCTGCAGAACATGAAGAACCAGTGGCATCTACATCTGCAGAACGTGAAGAACCAGTGGCGTCTACATCTACAGAACGTGAAGAACCAGTGGCATCTACATCTGCAGAACATGAAGAACCAGTGGCATCTACATCTACAGAACGTGAAGAACCAGTGGCATCTACATCTACAGAACGTGAAGAACCAGTGACATCTACATCTACAGAACGTGAAGAACCTGTGGCATCTACATCTGCAGAACGTGAAGAACCAGTGGCATCTACAGAACAGAAAGAACCAGTGGCATCTACGTCTACAGAACGTGAAGAACCAGTGGCGTCTACAGAACAGAAAGAACCAGTAGCAATCTACATTTACAGAACGTGAAGAACCAGTGGCATCAACGTCTACAGAACGTGAAGAACCAGTGGCATCTACATCTACAGAACGTGAAGAACCAGTGGCATCTACATCTGCAGAACGTGAAGAACCAGTGGCATCTACATCTACAGAACGTGAAGAACCAGTGGCATCTACATCTGCAGAACATGAAGAACCAGTGGCATCTACATCTACAGAACGTGAAGAACCAGTGGCATCTACATCTACAGAACGTGAAGAACCAGTGGCATCTACATCTACAGAACGTGAAGAACCAGTGGCATCTACATCTACAGAACGTGAAGAACCAGTGACATCTACATCTACAGAACGTGAAGAACCTGTGGCATCTACAGAACAGAAAGAACCAGTGGCATCTACGTCTACAGAACGTGAAGAACCAGTGGCGTCTACAGAACAGAAAGAACCAGTAGCAATCTACATTTACAGAACGTGAAGAACCAGTGGC